ATCGGATAATCGGCACAAAGCTACCGACCGACAGACGTTCATGCGTCCATGCGTCCGTCTGTCCGCCAGTCTTTCCGTCGATTTGTGTTTTGCTGACTGACAGTAGATGGGCAAATGAATCGACTACGAACGTGTGAATCCTTTTATCACTTTCACATATCACTTAGAGAATGAATGACATCCAACATAAAAAATCGTACTCAGTCACTTAAAACCACACTCTCAGCAAATCATTCAATACTTCTCATACGATACTGAACTGTCTCTTCCCATGTGTCACCCGGTGGACGATGATTGATGGTAGTCCACACCTTGTTCTTTTTTGCCGATGATTTTGTGTAATAGAATTAAGGGCTAAAAACATCAAAAATATAAAAATCGTCACGTAGAGGGAAAAAATACCCACGTGAGTTGTCTTTGTCAAAGTTTTTCTTCGCTGTAAACAGAACGGCAACACGATCATCAGGAAACATAACGATCAATTTAATTGTGTAAATAGGCGGATACAGCAAGTAAAATTTTTTGAACTCTGTAGTATTGTGTACTGTGTACTGTATACTGTATACTGTAGACTGTATTCCATATAATTTGTATAGAAAGCAGTGAAAGTTAAGGAAATTAGTCCAGATCCTTTTTTAGTTAAGTTCAGAAAAAGTGTGTTTTGAGATCCAAGTGAACCTAGGAGTCCGGTAATTTGTCTCTTCTTGCCAGACTGATATATGAATCTTTTATGCACGTATGGCGTGTGTGGAGTAAGGGCTAGATGTTCCTCGCAAGGTACAGTGGGTCGTCGCTGGCTTGACTCCTCGTGCAGTGCTGGCCATGTCTTCTATCACTCCAGGATAGGCAGATTGGTAACAGACTTGCTTAGGAGGGCAAACACATTGACCTGATACATCGGTAGAACGCCGTCATTAATTCTGTAGGACATTTTTGATTCACTCATCTCTGCGATCCTACGAATGGAATTGCTTGCATGGTGCACTCCCATGGGATTGATCAACGTCGAGCGCTCTAGATTTCATATTATGTATAAATATAAACATATTCATGATTACGTGTATGAGTGTGCTTACCTGCATGTGGATTTCACTCTCCTAGTCAATTCAGTCACAATCCTGTGGTCAGATTGATAGGAAGGTGCACTGGTGGCGATTTGCTATTGAACCCGGCAAACAACTATCTTGTTCACGTCGGGATACCCATCATGATGATAAGCTCTCCAAATCATGTCCTCATTCAAGTGGGGTGGAGGCCGTAACTACTGTAGCTTACGTGCGAAAAGTGTGCTAAGCCAGTAAACTTGGCAAGCACGAGTAGAAACGCGATGGGTGATCGTATTACTCTGTAGTTAACTAGATTAAAAGTGGAAGGAATGATTTTTTTTTAAATTTTGGGGGAAAATAAATATTTAGTGAATTTTTCATCTCGTCCTGGGCAAGCTGACTTCACGCTTCTGCCCGCCCATGTACTATCTTTCTCCTGTTGACCTTCAAAGATATTATGTAATGGGCTAGAACAATACTATGATTTAGGTTCTGTTACCATTCTAAAATAAAAAACTAATAAATCAGCTGAACAAATAAGTGAATAAATGAATTAAAAGAACACCTGCGCGCAAGATTCTACATGACTGAGAAGAATGAACCACACAAAGGTTGATGCTCAAATGACTCACAGAACAAAAATTTTGTTCAAATGCCTTGAATGATTGGTAGAACAGGTTATCCGTAAGATGCCCGCCTACGCCACCGTGCATCCTTATAAAGAGAAAAGTGATCAGCCTAGCGATCAGCTCATTTCAATCGGTGTCCATCATTATCGTTGACGTTGTTGTCACTATCATCACAGTAAACATTGCATGGCATTTTGTTCGTCACCTGTACGAATTCTGAACCTTAAATTCTCCGCTTTTATCCGATATTCTTTACATATAAACTCATCATGGAAAAAGGTCAACGTCATCATCAGAACTTATTCACGTCCAAATTTGATCCTCAACAAATTAGTTCTATTACGCGTCGTAGAAGCTCATTATGTTTCTACGTTAAAGACCTTCGATGAATTTCACTGAAAGCTTCAGTTTTGCATTTTTAACTCGTCTGCTGTTAGAAATCATTGTTCGAAGCAATGGTTTACCAGCTCACTCATGCACACCTATGTTCTACATTGTTGTAGGTCAAACGGAGGCTTTTCCGTCTGGGGAAGTCATGCGAGGTAAGAATAATTTAGGCGCTCAAAGTCGAAAGCAGAGATGGTTGTCAAGCAAGCACGACTGATCTCCATCTTGGAAGAAACTCAATCTCAAAGCAACAATTCTTCCATCGATTCATATTGGTCGCTAACTTCTCGTGATGTAGTGATAATGGTGTTGGCTAACTTCGTAATGCCCTGGCACTTCTATCTCAACATTCTGCGTAGATTTTCTTGTCCAATGAACAAAATTCCAGTCAAATTTAGATTCTGTTGGTTTTATTTATGATCTAGATCTACTTAAGCAAGATCGCTCTGTCTTCAAGGATACGGGAACTAAAGTTATACAACCATACCTATTTTATGACATGTGTTCGTGCTAGTTTTTTTCGGCTTCCAGGACAACAGGTGGTATTCGGTTTTGCATTCGACAGCACTATCCTTCAATCATTATGCTGTAAAAGCGGTATAAGAACAATGCCACCAGCATGGACCAGCTGTACGGCCAAATGCTTTGACGAAAACTCTTGTACAACATTGATAAGAACTCTATAGCTTTGACGAAATTTCTTTTAAAAACTATGGCGTCAACGTTAAGGTGAGTTAGATGCGTATTGACATCAAATCGTACTAATCTGGAAGTGCGAGGAGCTCGTTCTTCCATAGTATTTAAGTAGAAAACTGATTAAATGTGATGTGGAACAATGGATAGACATCAACTTTTCTGTTAGATAATTTGCAGAGTGCTATGATAACGTGGAGAAAAGACGAAAATTACGACAATGTATTGCACTACTAGACTTTAAGGTGTCTACAGCCTCTCACTAGTCTGTGGTAGTGTGGAAACATCGAAAGACAATTATCATTTCCAATGAAACTCTTCACTTTTTTTCTTTTTTGACTTAAAAACTATGCCAGAAGGGATTTATTGATGTAAGCAAGGTAGCATGCAGTGGGCAGTATCTAGATTTAATGAATTCATTACCAACGACTTCTTTACTTTACTGCAGGTGTCTAAATTGAACATCTTCTACTAGGCGTAATCGGCGATATTCCCGCTTTATATTCCGCTTCTCCTTTGGTTGTATCCATTCCGTTACGGTTTCTGATGTTAGTTGAACACATAGCTGAACGATACGATATTCGCGTCGGAGACGATGAACTTCTTCATCAGCCGGACCCACAAATTCTCATAGCATCGTTATCTGTTAGCGGGTATATTTCAGTGAAGGATAGCGAGCAAGAATCTGTGTTTCTTAGAAAAACCTGCACGAAATAGTGTTAAAAAATTCACGACTTCACTTCATCTGTTAGGAGGAGTACAGTGACGGTCGTTGAGGTCGAAATGAGTGGAGTTTCCGAAAAGAAAAAACAATGAATGATTGAGACATATGGTTCAATGATCTATGGTGATTCCTAGGGAGGCTTTCAAATCGCTGAAAAGAAGAAAAACCGGGAAAGATGTACATTTGAGCACTAGGAAAAAAGCGCGCTTTATTCTTGATCGTCAGTATTAATTGAAACCCGTAGATTAAGAGCTTACAAAACTTCATAGCAAATTACTCGGAATGGTTCAGCCGCGCATGTGTTTTTCATTCCCCATTATTTGCTGTTTTATTAAGAACTCTTTAAAATGGCGTTAGAGCTCGATTTCTTCTATTACATAAAAATTAATTGGTCAGTGACCGATTGCCATAACTAGAGATTTTATTCCAGTGAATGAGATACATAAAAACGTGACCGCAAACTGATTTTTTCGTCTCTCTTTGTAAAATCTATCTATTAGCGGATTGAAACTGTTGAAAAGTAGTGAGATAAAAAGTTGCAATCCATTTACTGAACATTTTTGTGTATGAGACAACAATAACGGAAACCAGTGTAGAACAGTCCCTAGTGATAGCTTGTAGTACTGGAGTCTGTAAGTACTCCCTGGTCGTCATCTCAAACCCGTGCCCTATGCCCACTAAGCTGTCTTTCTTTCCGGGGTCAGAAAATTGATACCAAACTTGTCTGGGAGGACAAGAACACTGACTTGATAAATCAGCAAGCTTACCGAAGTCATTGTATGCGTCAGATGTGCACCTGTAAAGCGGTACGAATGCGGTTGAATGCATGGCGCATCCCTCAGGAATTGGTCTACACCGCACACTTTACCCTTCATCGCTGTTCGATAATCAATATTATCGATAATCAATACGAAATGTTTTTCTGTTCTTCCAGAAAACCGTTTCGAATCGGTTTCGGTTTAGGCTGGGAGAAAAGCTCGCACTTTGGGATCGAAAGAAAGTGGTCGACCCAACGATGAGGTCACTATCGCAGACTGTCCGCCCCTAACCTCTTGCCGTCACCGCCCTCTGGGACGCCAACGGTCGCGATGGGCGGTACTGACGATGTGAGGTCACTGCGAGCGACGGAAGGCGTTTATGTCCTAACAGACTTGTAATTTCAGTGTCTCACATGGGCTAGTGCCAGGAGTCGGTTTGCCTTGGCCCTGACCTGCCGCCCTTATGCGACTGCTGCCTGACTATGTAGTCGTTGTCGCTGCCGTCTTCGAAGTAACGTCGTAATCATCGCCGATGTCGACGTCATAGTCTTCTATCAATTTCACTTCCTTACATCTCTCTATCTCGCTCCCTCTCTCTCTGTCTCGCCTATCTCTGCCATTTTCTGGAACCCACTCTTCAATTTTGCACTCATTTATGACACTTTTAAAATGTGAATTATTTTAATGTTATTAGTTACGGCAAACTGTTTCGTTGCAATTTTTCTTTCACAAAATTCAAGTTGTACTTTTTGCAGAGAGCACAATGAACTTTGCTCTACCATTGATTGTTTTCACGCTTCTATGCTCGCTTGTTGCCTGCCGACCGAAATACAAAGGTTTGTAAACAATTTGTTTGTTCTTTTTCTATGAATAGATTGAACAACATCCCATGCAGGTATAGAATTGTGGTAACTTTTGTTGTCGTCAAGACGACTAAATAATCATGCAGCTATAATAATCACACCTTCTTACAAATACTAGCAGAACTGATCATTGTTTAAATGCTGGATTAAGTGAATTGCTTTTAGGTGAAGAATTCGACTACCGTATGTCTGATGATGACGCTGGTGTAGTGATTGATCGAGTGTTGGAACCAAGACCTAAACATGACTCGCATCATCATCACCATCATCGTCACCATACTCATCATCATCGTCATCGTCATCAAAACAACGACAAACATTACTTGAAGACGAATCGGATTCAAAATTTTATGAGAGTATTCTGATGGGTCACGGTCGTGAGTGGCGGTGACGTCGTCGTCGTTTTTCGTCTTCTATGACAACAGTGGAACGGCATCAATTGTTCATAGCGTAGCTAACGATGATAAACGCTCGAAGCGAATTTGAAGGTCACCCCCGCTATCTTCATCGTTACCATAACGTATTTCACCGGTTGGGCCACACCGGTTGGCTAAATGCCAATGAAGATTCGGCTCTACCTACCGCCATCGTCGTCTGCCACCACCTTTGAGCATCACACCATAGACCATCATAAGAGCTTACCTCAGCTGTTTTTTCTTTAACATTTGACTGTGTCTTTCTTGCCAACCTGTGCAATTCATTGATCTCTAATGTGCCTTCTCTTGAATGTCAAGTAGCTGAAGTTATTTCTTTTGAGAGACGACATGGAGTTTTTCCTCCTCTTTCTCTTGACTTATGACACGACACTGTCTTCTCTTTTTATAATGTTTTCATGATTTTAGATCTACCAGCTTTATTTGTAGCTGTTTCTGTTTTTAAATTATAATTCGATTAGATTTTGTTGTTGAGCGGTTCTCTTTCTTGAATACGATCATCGTTGTACTTTCTTTTAATCTTAACTCTGCTCACAGTAGTCAAATGATCTCAAGTTTGTTTATTTAGATGAATAGTATAAATCGTATGAAAGAAAAGATTGTTATCGGTGTTATGTAGTTTGAGTATAAATCATTCTTACGGATTCCATTTGTCTTCATCATTCGTGGTATTAATTTAAAGAGCTAAAAAGGTATACTCTTTTAAAGATTTTTTAGGACAGCCTGCTCTCTTATCATGCAGTTAGTAAAGTGTTATCTGAAACTTTAGACTGACCATAATATTTCAATCATTGATTTTGTGGTCTTCAAACCATAATCAGCATTGAAGGCGTTCAAGTTCGTCTGCTGGTTCGGTCAGCATTGACGACCTATCATCTTCTCTTCTTAACTGAAATGTCACTGAACCCCAGTCAAGCGTGGCTTCCTCTGGAACCCTCAGACAGCCAGACTAAAGTGCAAGCAGTTTTCTGCTTTTGGAATTATCACCAGCCCTTATGGAACACACGAAGATTCGCTGACACACTGTTAGGAATCTTCCACTCCGACACCAGCCCCTGTGCTAGTAGCCTTAGTTGACCTACGATGTATCAAGCAAAGTCCTTACAAAACTACGAAAAACTTTCCAGATGTATGGATAACAAGGTTAAAGAAAATATCCAAAAAATAAATTGTAAAATCAATTTTGCCAGCTATTAATCACTGATTGCTAGTCTTAGATGATGGAAAATACAACATGTACTAGGCTTATCACTTAGATGGTTAGATAACCTGGTCATAATAAAGAATTCTGCCGGCCGGCACCAGAAAAGTTTGCATTTGAAAGGTATTTTGCTGATTTGGTGACAAAGTGCTTTTTTCTTGATGTTCCGAGATATAATTGTCAACCGGTTTGCAGTTTCCATCAGACGTACTAGCGGATGGAGGATTCTTGCTTTGCTACCTTGTCACAAAGGCTCCTAGCAAAACGACGTCGATTACTAGCGTAGATTTGCTCCTTACCGGATTTCTGAGTGGAGATCTCTCATGTCATTCTTTTTGGGGAAGCCACTTCCAATCCACTTCCATGTACTTTCCAGCGACTTGGCAGCAGCATTTTAATCAGATATTATGTGACTACATGTTATTATATTATCACATAAAGATCTGAGTATTGTCCTGCTACAGTATATTGTCCACTGAGCATAAAGCGTTCATTGTTGGTCAGTCATTAAGATTTCTGAGTTGAGTGAAAAGAACAACGTCTTCTAGATTCTGTTATCACCGCCTTGTTACTTTGGTAATTGGTAATTCATGTCGCTTGCTTTAAATACAATGATGGTGCAGAATAATCTTCACAGTCATAGAATATGTGAGCAAATTCAACAGTAATTAAGTGGATGAAAAAACAAGTCACTACAAAACTAAACTATGTGGTATCTCAAGAAACAAGTATCTTCGAGCTCGTAATATAAATAGAAAAGAAGGCGACATTCCAGGTGGAGACGAGAAGCATATAAGAGCGGTTCGCAACAAACTGGAAAGAGGAAAAGCTCAAAACAGATCTAACCAGTTCAATACTCGCGCAAGCCAACTGTACGAACAGCTGAAATCTCGTTTCAGATTCCCAAACGACGATCGTTCACACACGTGAGCACCATCACCTTCATGGAAAACAGTTGCAGAACATCGAAATAAAAGGAAGAAGTGTTGGAACTCACACTGCAGGTAAAATGACTGAAGTCCTTTAAGTTTTGTACAAGTGATGAATAGATAATGAAATAAAGTACGTCAAATAAGAAACTTCTATTTCTGATGTCCTAAAAGATGGGTGCCAATACTTGTCACCTTTGCTCAATCAGACTAGAGTTTTGGTTATGTGGTTAAAAGCAATTCTCTTGTTTTCATCGCCAGGACCAAGCGACTTGTGGCGAACGGTTTCTTAGGCTTAAAAACAATTCGAAAAGATACTGCTTTAGATCAGGAAAAACAGTGCCATTGGTCATAGAAATAATTTGTCATTTAGTTAGTGGCGTCCCAATCCTAAATAATTTTCCGCCTTCCCCGTTTTAGTTAAAATAATTGCATCTCTTCTTAATACTTTAGTTTAATGAAACCATTAGTTCTCATTCGGAACCAAGAGTAAAGCATTTTGCGTTTATTCGTTTCTGAAGGATACGCTATGCATTTGACTCCTGTCATAGCACCGTATAGGTGAGTGCATATATGGCCTATACAATGACTTGTGGTAGCGTACTGATGTCATCAAGTCAGTATTACTAATCTTCCAGACATGTCTGGTACCAGTTTCTCGACCACGGAGGAATGAAAGGCTTGGTTGGCCTGAGGTGCGGATGCGAACAAAGGACCGATCAAGTATGTGTTATACGACAGTTCTAACGACTATGCAGAGCGCATGTTTCCATACCACTGATTTCCCTAATAGTGTCTGATTATTAAAAAATAATAGCATTTTGAGCAATAGTAATACTTTGTTTTACATCATTTGGTCCTACAAAAGACGAGAGCTTAGTTCTTTAGTTTCTACATTGTCAGTTCAATAGTGCCAGTTCAATATAGCACATCGCTAACGTTGCAGAACCAAAGAGTCTGCTATCCGGCGCAAAGAAAGAGTTTCGTTTTGACGGTGAATAAAGAAGAGCGATGAGTCGTAGTCAGCCAATTCGTCGTTAATCTTCGACCTAGGTGTTTCGTCACAATGACGACAGCGCCCAAAAAGTTGCACGAGTGGGGGGGGGGGGCATTCATTGGCAGTTCAATGCGCTACCCGCGTGTCGAAATTGGCAGTGTTTCAACACTAGGACGCAAACCAATGTCATTGTAAGACACTGCGCTGTAAATAACTCGTCAGGCTTCGCGTTTGTTCCTGAAAGGAGGTGGTGGTTATGTAAAGCTATTGTTAGCTCGTTGTGCTGTTCCGGAGCAAATCTGAAGCATAATTACCGCAAAAGATCTCGAAACTCTTCCTTCTCACATATCATAAAACACTTCACAGACTCTTGGCAACGGACTACTGATCGGATTCGAAGGATAGGATGAAAGCTTCGCATACACACACTATCAAATCCATGCGCTCATAGATGATGGCATATGCATATAAAATATTTTGGTATAGCAGAGATAGTATGCCCAAATTCTTCTCATGGACCTTCGATGGAGCGTTTATACGTTGGTTGAGATCCCTCCACATGATTTGGTGACTAGCCGGCTCACGCTCTCTTTGTATGAAGCAGAACAAGGTGTTCAGTCGAAGAGGTAAAAGAAAAGGAGGTGAAAATAAACGGTTGTCATGTCATCTTGACCACCTTGACGCAGACCATATCAAGAATTCGTCGAATTACTGCGGTGGATTACGTGGTATTCTTATCGTGTATGTGATTATAAGTCAGATAAATATTGTGGCCAAACATGTGGAAACGACGAAAATCTCTCACAGTTGCCGAAATCGTGGAGTGATATTTAGTTTTGGCGCAGTAACTACCATAAACTCCAAAACATGATGGTGACCTTGACCATTTTGTCTTTCGTAATTCGAATATGTTGCTTCGATTTATAAGGCTATTAGTGCTAACCTAAAAAACAAACATAGAGGATGATGACAACCTTTTCTTGAAATCGCCGCTGATCAGTCTGATGTCAGCTAGAAAGGGAACTGCGCTATAACACACATGCGAATGTCTCCATCCACGTGCAGCTACAGCGATAGGCTACTTTTAGAGAAGAAAAGGACATGCTACAGTAAGAATAGTTGAAATGTCATTCAAAAAATTCGAATAAACCGTATCGAACGGTCGGATGTTTGAAATCTTATAGGCCCTAGTTTTTCATCGTTTTTCAACTATTTTCGATCTCGTTTATAGAGCGAGCACTTTCTGTTGTAATAGCAGTAGATATTTTACTACCTTCCCGAGTTAGAGAGAGGTGGTTAAACGCTATGCAAAGAAAAACATGGACTTCAATTGGTGCTAATAGAATGAAGCAATTGAATTCTACCACTGCTACAGTGGAATCATAGTTTACACTTACGAATAGTTTACGCTTGTCGTGGATACCAGAATTGTTTCTCACAAGGCAACGTCATCAATAGTCTCCAATTCTAGTGCAGAAGGTCGACAAACTACCTAACCCTATATCCAAGCACTGATGTGCCTTACTCTTGTGTCCTATCAATGGACAACCTGTTGCCAAAATCAAAATGAAAAGTACAGGAAGGATTTCGAAATCTTGTTTGGCAAGCACGAGTAAGTTAAAGGTATTATACGTTATAATGTTCAGTGAACTTCATGTTACTGTAGTATTATGGTACGTGTGTGTACGTACGTGTGTGCACGTGTGTGCATGTGTCTGCGTGTGTATATATATGTATATGTATATATATGTGTGTTGGTCTCTGTGTGTTTCTGTCATATCAGCTCCTCTTTTCCCTTGCTTTT